TGATGAGAACCGTGAGAACCATGGCCCGATGATGCCCCACGATGAACTAGGCGAGCTGACTGAGCATGCTTGAATGGGCGGCCTCTACCATGCTGAAACTGACCTCTCGAAGGAGCTCCACCAAAACTACCAGATCCCCGAGGCCTCTTGGCCTCCCTCTCTTCTCGCTCCTGGCGACGAACTGACTCAATCTCGCGAGCCATATCAACAACCTCCTCAAAAGTAGCACCTGACACCCTCTCCCTGGTCATGAGAATCCGAAGCTGATATGTGAGGCCATCAACGTACCTCCGAATCCTCTCTCTATCCATAGGAACCAACCAAATAACATGACGAGCTAACTCCGAGAACGTCATCTCATACTGCGTCACAGTCATATCTCCCTGACGTAACTGCTTGAACTGCCTGCGCAACTCCTCTCTGCGAGACTGTGGCACATACATCTCCCAAAAGAGAACGGAGAACTGCTGCCAGGTAAGGGGCGCTGCATCAACAGGCCTACGCCTCTCATAAGCCTCCCACCAAGTAAAGGCAGCTCCAGAAAACTGAAAAGTAGTAAATGCAACCACACTGGTCTCCAGAGTACCCGCTGTACGAAGAATCCTCTGACACTTGTCCAAGAAACCCTGGGCATCCTCGCCCTCTGTACCACTAAAAGTCGGGGGCTAAAGTCTACCAAACCTCTCCAATCGATGCTGCTCGTCGTCAAGCATAACTGGTACCACATAATCCTGAGCTGGTGCAACCGGCTGGGCTGGAGGTGCCCCCGGTGTCTGAAGGCCCTGCACAACCTGCTCAGGTGTGCAAGCAGCGGGAGTCTGTGTGCCTCCCCTGGCCTGAGAAGTAGGTGCGGCCGTAGTAACTGAGACCGCTTGAGCCAGGCCAGTGCATATTGATAGAATCTGGGCTAGAGCCTCCTGAAGGCCTGGAATCACAATAGGCACAGCCGGTGCCTGAGCTGGTGCTGCTGGAGCGTCCACAACTGGGGACCTGATCATGAACTGGGGCGGCTGGTGGATCTGCAGGTGCTGCTCTAGCTGCTGTGCGGGCTACACCCCTGCCCCTACCACGGCCTCGACCGCGACCTCGGCCTCTAGTGGCCCCAACTAGTGGTACTGGTGGTCGTCCGTCCTGACCGGTAGCACGTGTCCTCACCATCTGTGAGAAAATAGAATAACGGAAGTTTAGTACCAGAATTAACAAATTCGCACGACAGGAATTTCAAGAATGTGAAGTTTTCCTAAAGGTTCTGCAGCCTCCCGAGGATAAGTACAAACGTCTCCGTACCGATCCGCGAGACTCTACTAAACCGACTCATGACTCGTGAGACCTATGTAATCTAGGCTCTGATACCAACTTGTCACGACCCCGATATCAAAATTTCCGCTATCAACCGGAAACCGCCAAAATTCCACTTTCACCAATTCAAGCCTAAATCTACTCCGGACCTCCAAAATACATTTCGATCACGCTCCCAAGTCCCAAAATCACCTAACGAAGCTATCCGAACCATAAAACCAAATTCCGAGATCGTTTTCACACAAGTCAACTTCCGGTAGACTTTTCCAACTAAAGGCCAACTTAAGAGACTAAGTGTCTCATAACATTCCAAAACTACTCCAAACCCGAACCACCGACACGATACGATGAAATGAAGCTGAACAACACATAAAGAAGCAGAAATGGGGAAAACGGTGCGGTAACTCATGAAACGACCGGCCGGGGCGTTACAGATCCGCCCTTGACCAACCCTCTAAAGATGGATTTTCCTTTAAATTATCTTCTTTTTTTATCCTTTTTACCCGACTCTATGGAGGGATGTTTATGTCCTATTTCCAGTGGAATGACAACTTAATGTTGTCCCTTCAATGAAATTTTCCTAGCCTCGGAAGGAACTGACAAAGAAAGAGAGAAAAAGAAATGCTTTTAGAATATTCTACAAGTTCGAGGTTAAGAAACAAAAGGACGGAGTGGGAAACAATTTATATAAATTAGAGTTTAACTTTTATAATTCTCTTTTTTTAACTTTTATATATCGACATTTATAAAATAATTTTTACTGTATCAGGTCACTAAAAAGATGGAATAGCTCATAAACAGAGTAAAATTCTTTGATCGGATAAAAACTCATTACATTATCAACTTATTTAAGTTAAATTAAATAAATTATATCCATGCATGAAATCAGCCACTAGGGAGCTGACTTTTATGACTCTTTTATGAAGAAAAGATCTTTTGGAGAAACAAAAGCTAAGCAACATCTTCTCAACGAAGCAAAGCACCTATCCAATTCCAAATCAGTCAATTGGCCCTCTCACTCCTTCTACCTCTCTATCTTTTTTAGGATCTTTGCTTTTTTTTTTTTCTCAAAGCAAAAAAAGCATATAGCTTTTTCTTCCTTTCTTTTATTACTTTCGAGCCAAAAGATTTTCAAAAAACAACCCTGACGAAAAGAAATGACACTAATTCACTGTACCAGATTTCACTCTGCCGAATTCTCACTAATTAATCAATTAATAATAAGTGAGGCAATTATAACAAGGAAGATGTGGAGCGATGAGCTTTTCAAGTCAGAATTCCAATATCAAAGTGAAAGACTATATATCTATTAGTAATTCTAAAGGAAACACTATTATGACATGAGATTGTTTGTTAATGCAATCTGAACTTCTTTTCTTTTTTGTTTGTCCAAAATTGACCTTACTTGCATGATATTTTTTTCTCCTGCCATATTTAAGCTAATAGAAGTATGTATATTGTGTCCCGAAGGGACGGCCCAGTGGGTTTGGAGGGAGTTTTCCACACGGGAGACGTGGGTTCGATCCCCCCTCAATGCCTTCTGGGTCTGAGCCTGTTGCACGGGGCTTGCCTAGTGCGGTTTACATCCCCTGTGTAGTTTGTAGGCTATTACACAGTGGGGGGTTTACCCAGTGCGCACAGAGTGCTCACCCAAAGGGCAGAGGGGGTTTTCCTAGGGTTCCAAAAAAAAGAAGTATGTATATTGTTAATTACGTGTTATTTCAAGCTAAAATTGGTCTCTTATCAAGTAACTACGATACGCCATCTTCTCACACTTGAAACCTTTACTGTAACCA